ATTTCACGAAAATAAAGCAAAGATATCGAAAAGTGCCTTAAAATTTTGTCCGCTGGGCAAAAACGATTTCTGTCACAAAACGAAAACAGCTGAGCTTAAGTTTTCTTATCACTTCAGGTTTGTAGCATGCTCTGAGAGCTATCCAAATCAGTATTCGGATGTCGATAATGAGTGATCTTTCACGCAGAAAAATGAAAAACAAAAGGTGCCTTAAAATTTTGTCCGCCACTTTAGGTTGCCAAACAGTGGCAACCTGCAAAGCTCTGCTAGTGGCTCTTTCTCACCTCAAGGCCACCTATTCATGTTTGACATTGCTTGATGCATGTTAATCCTGAATGTATGCATGATGAGTGTATCTGACATTTTTGACAATCTTATGATTAATAGTAAAATAATAGTTATAATTATACTGTTCATTAAAAAAGAAAGACTGTAAAATATTTATGTAATGAAAACAGACCTAACTTACTTTTTACAATTTCCTTCGTCATATTTTTTTCGATTTTATCTAATCCTCACTTCTGATTTAGATATGACGTATCAAAGCAAGAAGTTTTCGCACTTTTTACTCACAAGGAGCCACACTGATAAGCTTTTTTATATGATTTCAAGTGTTTATGTGTTGGTTCGATGTTTTTAGCTCATTTCTTGCATTTTTTCATATAAAAGAAATATATCTTAGTATATTGAAAAGAGTGGTGTACATGTGGTGTAAATGTCTATGTACACCACTCTTTTCAATATACTAAGATATATTTCTTTTATATGGCAATCTCTTGAAATATAATATCGCCTGGTTCAAAATCTTTCTCTGCACATAATATTTTATTTTTAATTGGATGAGAATGAACAGAAATGCAGTCAGAACCAATAAGAAGATTATGGAAAGTTTGATTTGGTTGATTACTCATTTGAGACCTAAAACGAAACGAATTTATAGCATTACTCAATATTTTTTAAACCAGCAGTATTTTTCTACGGTACATAAAACTGTTGAATTAGGAAACACTTTCGTTTATCTGTACTTTAATGGAAGTACCTTCGATAACGATAACTGACTTTTATTGTCCCTTGTCTTTCTTTTTTTGTTGCCCCTCTACTACATATTTTATCCGGTTCTTTTGTGTGAGTGTGTTATCTATTTGTCTCATTGTGGATGAATATGCAAAAAACAAGGTTTGTTTGTATCTATAGTGATCATGATTAAAACCAAACAAGTGTTAAATTCGCACAACTTTGTTTTACTGCCATTAACAGGCATTTTGAAGAGGAGTTAAAATTAAACGATAAAAAAACTAATATAAAGTAAACAGAGGAGGCAAAAATATAAAAGTAAACTGAGCGGAAAAAACAACGTTTTTCAAAGCTTTTTGAAAGCACGCATAAAGCGGATTTCAGCGATCCTGTTTCGAAAAGATAATTGGTTTAGAAAGCGAGCATTATTTCGTTTCGCCTCTGTGTCATCGTCTCACATACTTGTTGTCATACTAGTAGTACAATCAAGATTTCTTCACAGTCACAACTAGAGAATGGAATAAGGCAGTAGACTCATCATTTGTTCTATTTATTTGCTTTATTTTAATATTCTGATATTCAGGTGAAACAAAGAGAAAAAGATCAATAAGATTTACAGCGAAATTATTAATTATCTAATCAATTAGTTTAGATGTAAACAATTCCTAGTTATCGTATAAAAGCCTGATAAAACAAAAGAACGCGTTATTGTCATTAAAGTGGCAAGTTGAGGTGTAAATGTAAATCGGCGACGAACAGATATTTTAAATTACACGACTGCCTTTCCTAAGTAACATATATGTCTGCCATTTCCTTTGTTTTCACTTCGACCTTCACCGCATAAAAGTGACTCTCGCTTCCCATCATGGCAACGTGCCGGAAATTCGGATGAAAAGCGAAACTTTATTTTTCATTTATTTATACCTGGTTGGATAAAGCTTCTGTTAGAGGAAAAGGCAAAATACGCGCCCATTTTCATTGTTTTTTCACTGATTTCGAAAAAATGGAATCCCTTGGCAACACAACAAAAACTCGACCGGCCAAAACCTCGAAAAAAATGCCTAATTTTGAAACGAGTGGATTTTCTGAACGTTTTTATAGTTTCGCTTTTTAAGCATATATTTTGAATGAACACCCATGAACACAAAGAAGAAAGGGTAAGAACACCCAAAAAAGTGCGCCAAATTCATCTCCAGGGTATTCTGGGCTGAGAGTGCGATGTGTGGGTGAGGGCGAGGTACTGGTAGGCTCATCCTCAGCCCAGAATAACCTGGAGATGAATTTGGTACACTTTTTTGGGTGTTCTTACCCTTTCTTCTTTGCGTTCTTGAGTGTTCATTCAAAATGTATGCTTAAAAAGCGAAACTATAAAAACGTTATTGGATGTGCGTTAGGCGTTGCTATACTCAGCTGGACGAGCTCTATCGATTGGCTAACTCAGATTTTAATCTGGGGGTATTCGTGAGTGTTCGCGTCTTTTAGCAATACCCTAGACATACTCAGGTCGAAATTGATAGAGATCCGTTGATAACATCCTAACATGATAAACGAGTCCTTAGAACTTACTCTCCCTTGTCCTAGAATAGTTTGCTGTTCTTTCTCTAGTATATTATCAGCTATCATTTCTCTTCTCTTTTTAGCAATATTTCTCTTTTGATCAAATTGTCACAACATGTAATGAGTGATACACTTCTCCATTCTGAGCATGAACACTTTTTTTGCAATCCCTCTTGCTATTGTATCCTCTTTATTGTGAACACACATGTAATGTCCCTCTCTCTCTCTACCTAATATCAACTGTCTCTTGTTTACTAAAGCTGACCATTGAAGAAATCCATTAGTTAAATGAAGCACTTCAAACTCCTGCAAGGTCTTACGGATGCGAATACTTTCAATAACTGTCGACTATTATCATATTTCATCCAGGTATTTTATTCGTTGAGGCTGATAAAAACAATCGTATAGAAGTCGGAAAAATTGTATAGCAACCGAGCTTCAGACGGATAATTTTTCCGCAGCATCATTTGGCAGACGTGTAGTTATAGAACAAGAATTAATTCATGTGTCACATAATACTCCTTGGTCGAATTGACATAAACAAACGCGAAATTAGCTTTATACAAACGATCATTTCAATACGATTCTTTTTATCAGTCTCCACGAATAAATACCTGGATGGAACAAAACGATAGTTGACATTTGTTGAAAGCATGCCCATCCGTAAGCCCTTGCAGGAGTTTGGAGTGCTTCATTTACCCAATAGATTTCTTTAGTATATTATACTTATTGAATAAGGAGGAAAGAAACGAAGGACTTCGCCGGTGTAGTTCAGTGGTAGAATGTTCGGCCGTGAACCGAAAGGGGAGTTCGATTCTTTCCAAAAGAGGAAAAGAGAAAAAAACCTAAAAGAAAAGAAATAACAAGATGACTTTCGTACGATGGTGGAAAAAACTGAATATAACAAGAAGAAAAAAAACAATGAATCATGTCTGAAAAGAGTAACGAAGAAAACTTTGCTATTTTCAAAGACGTCATATGTTGTAAAATAGAGAAAGAGATTTAAAAACAAATTTAGAAGCAAACAAGTTTATGCTTCTTACTGTGAGTGATCTATCGGAAACAGCATTCGATTTACGGAAGCTCCTATACCGCAAAGATACGCCCTTAGGACCTTCCGTAAATCGAATGCTGTTTCATGAAAACATGCGGCACAGAGCTCGGAGAGGTCTCATTTTGTTCAGAAATGTTTGCTCTATACGACGGAGTTACTTGCAAAGAATTTCTCGATTGAACTCGGGGACTTGGTTTTCTGAAATTTGGGTTTTCGAGGGATCCTGGTTTCAGAAGTTTTTGTAGAACCTTTCTATACACCACATCAGATCAAAAAATTCTTTCAGCTGTTCAAATCTTTTTTCAAATTTGTTTTAGCTATTATGGTTGACGAGAAAAATGAAAAATAAAGGTGGACGAATAATTTTTCAACCCACTATAGTTTTAAGTGGCGAAGGATTTAATACGCAAAAGCCGCTGGCAAGCTTTGTTAAGTTTCCTATTAACGCATTTTGTAGAACTTTCCAAAACGCATCGAATGGTATATGAATGATTAGGGATCATCTTTAGTTTCATAGAAAAAGGTGACAAAGAGTTCCCGTGGTATAGCCACGACCGATGGAAAAGTCTAGTATTAAATTTATAAAACATGCTGCCCCACTTCGTTAAGCTTCTTATTAACACATATTGTAGAGCTTTTCAAGGCGCGTCGAATGATGTATTGCGCTAGGCTTAATATAGGATGGTTACTGAGAAATGTTGATTTTACAGTCATAGTGTGGGTGCTAAATCATCGCTCCTTTTCGAGTGGATTCTGTCGGGTATATTCGACTAAAAGCGCTCGGAAGGGTCGAAATCATTGAATATCATAATTGGATGTGATTCTGATGAGGTTTGGACCGATTGGAGCGGTTATTGTTAGTGGGCCGATTTCCGTTCTTATGCGGACTTCACCTTTCTAAAGGAATTTATTAATACGTTTGCATAATATCCAATAAAATTATTATCACTAATTTTAAATTTGTATTTGATTGCATCTAAAAATGCACTACACATAATGAATTACAACAACAATCAGATAAAATGGCTCAATATTATTTACATCAATCACATTAACAGAAGTGCAATTGTTTTTACCTGTTTAGAATTTTTCCACCGTAGATTGTGTTCTGATAGTATGGTTACTGTGTTAATTTTTTGTTTTTTATTTGCATGTACATCAAAAATTTCGTTTGTGTTGAAAAAAGAACGTGTATCTGTATTTAGTTATTCTATAGGTGTGCTTAGAAAAGCTCCGAGCACCTCTTAAAGTTGTCGACCTTATTAAGTAACGCTTTCGAATGGTGTTTGTCTCAACTAAAATATTTTTTTCGAAGAACATCATCTCTGTGTAAAAGCAACTGTATTCAGATTTAGACAAACACCACGTATATGTATTGAGTCCCGACAGCTTCCGATAGATCACTCACAGTAAGAAGCATAAACTTGTTTGCTTCTAAATTTGTTTTTAAATCTCTTTCTCTATTTTACAACATATGACGTCTTTGAAAATAGCAAAGTTTTCTTCGTTACTCTTTTCAGACATGATTCATTGTTTTTTTTCTTCTTGTTATATTCAGTTTTTTCCACCATCGTACGAAAGTCATCTTATTATTTCTTTCCTTTTTCATTTTTTTCTCTTTTCTGAATGTTGTTACCTTGATCTAATTACTGATGCATAGCATGTGCTAAAAGTTTGTTGTTCGTAATAGAGTAACCATTCGATCATCTGTTTATTTGTCGAATCTATTTTCTTTTTTTGTTTTAGATTATAACAAAAGGGATTATGTCATCGAAATTTGAAGAGCTTCCAGTAGAGATGATGCTCGAAATATTCCAGTATATTGACGCTTATGATTTGTATCATGGATTTTATGATTTAACTGCACGTTTAAATTTAGTTATTAATACAGCTGATATTAAATTACATATGATTGATTATATACATCCAGAAATATTTGATTATTATTGTAGTAATATTATATCTCGTTTTAAACATTGTTTAAGCTATTTACGTGTACCAAGCGATAAATTAGAAAAATTTTTAAAATTATTTAATTTAAATGAATTTGTTTCGCTTCGTGCATTAATATTGTGTGAACCAAAACAATTAGATGATGAACGAATGATTCTAGAAAAACTATCAAAATTAAAACAACTAAAATATTTATCATTAAATGGTGATAAATATTTAATTCAATTAAATACAATTGACTATTCATTGATTTCATTACAATATTTGAATATTGATTGTTGTAAAATAAAAACTTTCTTATTTATACTACAAATAATACCTAATATAAAACATATTAGATGTTCATTAAGTAAGCAAAAAATGAAATGATTACTACTCTTTATGTTTGTTTGTTTGTTTTATTTTTACAAGGATTATCGGTACCACACGAACAATATGAGAGTATTGGTAAATATGTACCAAAACTTATTTCATTAAAGTTCAAATCATATTATATAAACTTTGATACTATTTTATTACTATTATCAAATTTATTAGAATTAAAAAAATTATCATTTGCTGCTCACAGTTTTGATTGTTACAATGGTTATAAATGGTCTCAGTTATTGTCAACATTACCATTGTTAAAAAAATTTCAATTCTTTATTGATGCAACAGTGGCATTTGAAGATTCAATAGATGATGTTATTCAATCATGGAATATTCTTTCACAATGGAATATTCAAATTAATTATAGTAACGTTTTTATATGTGTTTATACATTACCATTTAGTCAACTATGTTGGTTCACAACATGTTTATATAATATGAAAACATTGACGTAAGTTAAAAGAGAAAAAAAATGATGATACATGTATATAAGTTTAAGTTTTTGAATATTAGATTTGGAGATCAAAATAAAATTATGCTCAACGATAATGATAACATTCAACAATTATTTATACGTCTTACGAATGATCATAAAATATTGGCACGATATTCAAATGTTCAATCAGTATATTTTTACTTTGAATCAAATTTACCAGTTTCATTACCATCAACATTTCTTGAAGATCTATCAAAAACATTTCAATTGTCAACCGTTCAAAGTCTAGGTATAACTTATAACAGAGTAGAGAATAGTATAACAAAGGAATCGAAACGTTAGACGACTCTTGCACGAATATGTTACAGACTATGTTGAAGTTCAGACAGATTTTAAATTACTATAGGGTAGCTTTCAAATTTTAATATAGACCAGGTTATCTTGAAATTCAGATGCTTGCATAATTGATTTTAAATAGTCAATCAAAATCAGTGCAAGCAATCCTTGGTCTCAAGAGTGATGAGGAAAAATGAGAGAAATAATTGATTTTTAGTCGGGTAATAGTAAAACATGAAGACACCCACAGACACTTACAGCAAGCACACAAACATTCACAGACGGGCACAGACAGCTACACGAACTGTCATATTACAGATATCCATAAAATGAGTCTGCACAGACATCTACTGAATTACACAGACAGCTAAATCACTCTACAGACACCCACTAGTAGATACAAACAGCCACGTAACCTACAGACAGCCAAAAAAGGCGTCTACCAGAACGTTTAGAAAATTATACTACAGCTAAATCAATCTACAGATACTTATAGATAGACATAGTCATCTGAGAACTGCAGGTACCATCATCGGTACTACATAGGCAATCAGAAAAAGGAAAGAAAACATTCCCTAATGGTCATCACACACATCATTAGGAAACGTTCGCACTTTTAAGAACTTCTGAGCTCTTCGAATTATCGTGCATATAGGCGTATGTCTCATTGTATATGTGATGAGGATTTCACTCATTGATTCAATTATTTCTAAAATCACACCTCCTATTTACCAACACCTAGGTGTTTGAATCAAATGTGCGTGTTTGTGGGTACTTTCTGTAGGTTGACTTGGTTGTTTGGAAAATTTTGTGCGGGCTTGTGTAATATCGTGCCTGTCTGTGTAGTTGGGCGTATGTGGATGTCGGTAAAAGTTGGTGTCTGTGTGGCTGTTTTTCGTTCTCTGTGGGTGTCTTCATGTTTTACTATTATCCGTTTTTAGTTTCGCTATTCTAGTATTACCCAATTTAGTCTGTTACCATTTCTTATAATCGATCATCCTTAATCATTCACTGATCCTGCATTGAATTTGCATTAATGGTTGAGTCTGCATTAAAACTAATATATACTGTAACTAATCGTTAATAAATAATCAATGTATCAGTATCATGATATGAATATTGTATCAATTTTTCCAAAAGAAAAATGAATGTTCCCTTGACTTTAGTCTAGGGTCTTACGAAATGGTTGTCTGTGTGTCTGTGTGTGCGCAAAACACGGAAAGATGGGTGTTAGATATTCTATGGATAAGCGAATCACAAGAGAGAGAAGTAGAAAAGTATTTTTTACAGAAGGGAGAGAATATTCAAAGAGATGATCTGAAATATCTACCGCTGCAGAGAGACAAAAAGCTAAGCAAACGTTTTCTGTAGGCCGGTGATAGATGTCGCCAGATAGCAGCCAACTGTGATAATACAAGGAAAGTCGGCTACGGATACTGTAACTTACAGTGTATAGAAAATCTATCATAGCGAATCGATTGAAAATAGTTCCAATCTCCTCAGGATCCGTAAAGAGTGTCCAGAAAAGCTTTTAGCTTTATTTACATTGGATGGTTTTTCCTTGGAAGGAGAGAAGTTCACAGCGTTTCTCTGCTATAATGGCTGCGAACGCCGACCGAAGGGAGGTGTGAGCATTGCTGTGAGTTCAGAAATGTTTTTAGACTTCTGGAACTTTTTGCCTTGTATATATACGAACCTTACACATGAAAAAAGAAAAACATCAAGATGGCTTAGTCAGGCCCCCAGCGAGCGCCGACCGGTGGGAGGCGTGAGCATTGTCTTCGATTTAAAAATCACAAAAGCGCGTTCAGTAGCGCAGATCCAGGTTATTAAAGTCAAGGGACCGAGCGAGTGGAGACGAGCGTTACCTTGTGGGATAGTATGTAGAAGATAAAGTTCTTAGCGATAAAAGAGGTCCAGGATAGGTAGTCGATTATGACGAATCGCAAAATAGCTATCAGCGGTCTCTGCGAGCGATCGGATCGGTCGAAAAGCTTTTCTTACTTGATTGGATAAAAAGGATAGCAGAGTTTGTTGAACGGGTTCTGATTGTGCAGAGAATACTCGATAGAGCCAAGTGGGTTGTGGTAAGTTCTTGAGTCATGTATGTTTCAAAAGTTCCACCAACTCTGTGTAATAAACCCTTGGGGCAGACACAGTTTTAGTGAAGAGTCAGTGAATCACAGATGAACGTTCCTTGTTACTTAAAAGCTAGTAGAAAACGTGACACGACATTACCGCAAATACAAAAAACGACATTACAGTGAACGACGTTACCGCGAAGACTAGTTTATTGGAAAAGAAGACTAAATGAGCCTGGTTTTGTACTTTGTATATCATGTGGAGGGAGGTGGGAAGTGGGGAGAGGGCATTATGAGAGTAAGTTCGAAAAGTATTTTCACATAAAACATATTATCGTGATGGGAAACTGGATATCTGTGTCTGTATCAGATAATGACTAGTCACCACATAACGTCAGTTAAGTTTGAAAACATGATGTACAAAATACAAAACCGGCCTCATTTATTCGGCTTTTCCAACAAACAAGCCTTCGCGGTAATGTCGTTCTCTGTATTCGCGGTAATGTCGCTGTATCAGTAGAAAAATCCTTAATTATTTTGTTCCAGAAGGAACATATACGTTTTCTAAGTTTTCGGACAAGAAAATGCTTGTGTACTGATGTGAGGATTTGACTCTCATTCACAATTATTCCATCTCATCCGTATTATTGAACTTAGTGCTCGATCAACTTTTCGAGTTACTAAGCGATCGTTTTGGATACAGTTTCACGGGAGTGGGAAGGGCAAATGCCATGGTATTTTCAGATGATTTGGCATTGGTGTCTGGCTCTAAAATCGGGCTACAGAGTCTACTGGATACAACAGTCGACGTTTTAGCAGCGAGAGGGCTAAAACACAATGTCCAAAAATGTGTGTCAATAGCCTTGTGTTCAAGGGTTACATGTGTAACTTCGATGAAATTTTTGAATATTCCGCATAATAAATACTCTTAAGAAATATCGACTTTTTGCAGTTTGCCAGAGAACCCGAGCACGAAAAAGAATCATGAAGCGGGCGCTGCATCTAGATTAAAAGGTACATTTATCTAGCTTCAGCTAGATGCAGTGAAATACATGAAAAGGACAAGTGGCAGAATGTAAGGTTTCGTGCCCAAAAAATTACGCAATGAGTCATACATATTCGGAATCAGCGTCGAATTCTGAGTAAAACTGTATTCTCAGATGCTGGCCAAGTTTCTACGATCGT